CATGCAATCTGTGCATATTTCCTTATTTCTTGCATGGTGAGGGTTTTAGTTCGGCAGTACATGGTAACATCATATCTTATGCTGTCGTGAAGATTGTGGAGGAAAAGATATTTTAGTGAGTGGTCTTCCTCCAGCCCAGGGGCGCAGCACCCCTGAAAATATGCGGCTCGCAACCGACGGTAATAATCTATCGGCGATTCATTTCTTTTCTGTTGGATGCCGAGGGCACTTAACATCGCGGAGCCCGGATCAGTGTGCACTGAATATTCCTCTCTTAGTGCTTGACAAAGAGAGGAATAGCGGTCTCGAACAGAGGGCTGGAGGCTCTCTATGAACACATGCACGCTTCTTGAAGTAGTTTTCCAGATTAACTTTAACTTCTCCCGGGCGGAGGGATGGGGTAAGTCTAAAAGACAGTGTTCTACCTCTCTAAGGTAGTCTTCAATGGTGGATTCAGTGTTGCTGGGGTCAAAACGCTCTATGTCGTGGGTGAGGGATTCAAGTTGTAGCATCCGTAATCCATGTTCTGGGACTGGGGCTGGACCGTCTGAATCCTCATCTGAGAGCTCTAGCCAGCTACGGTCACGGTAGGGTGGAAAGCTCTGCTCTGACCTCCTTGGAGGCAGGTGAGACCGCTCATGGTACACTGGTGAGACTGTTGCTCCGTAGCACTTAGGCCATGGCCGTGGCTCAGGGCGGTAACGCTGACCAGTGTCCCACGGTTGGCTGTACAGCTGCCTTTGTGGCAAGGGTGTGTCATAGCAGATCGTGCTTCATGTTTGGTCTGACCTGCTTGTCGCTCTACAACTGGGACCTGGCATGCCGCTCAGGTCCAGCATCCTCTGCGGTCTAAAGCTGCTCTGCTGGGTTGGACTATACATTACACTACCGAACCTTCCCTGCTCCCTCATGCTAGCTCTCTGCTCTGTGGCTGCCAGAGGAGGATCTCCCCTGGTACCCCTTCTATCAACCCTATCCAAAGCAGGGGTAGGTTCGCTTTCTTCTCTCTTCTGGGAACCTTCTGTTCTTTCTTCTGATCCTTCGTCTGATCCTTCATCTGACCCTTCGTCCTGCGGGCAGGGAGCAACGCCCCTTTGCCATTCTTTCAGGACGTTGGAGGTCGCCATCCTATTCTCTTCTGCCTTCCTTGCCCTTTCTTCAGCTTCTAAACACAGTTCTTCGGCTTCTAGACGCAGTTCTTCGGCCTTCAGGTGCAGTTCTGTTTCTAACTGGGACTTTCTCTGGTACAGCATTGCAAGTTGACCAAACACGTTTGCAATAAGCATATCTTTCCCTGGCTTCCTAGTTGACTCAATTAGTTTCTGAATCTCTCTGTCACAAGCCTCTAGATCAAGACTACCAAGCGCTCTGTGTTCGTCTTCTGACAATGAAATCACTGAGCTTATTAAGTTCTGGGCTTCCATTTCGATGGAGGCCGCAGAAGCTTCCACTGCTTGCTGATCCTGATCCCTTTCCATTTAATTCGTTAGGGGAAAAACGAAGCAGGAAACACAGCACACTGGCTAGAAATTGCTAACCTTGTTAGCACTACAAGCACTAAACAAACGCACTCCGTTTACTGTAGGTTTGTTACCTATACGGCAGTTGTAGAACATGCGGATAAAAAAAACGATACGCAGGTTGCTTTCATCTTGCGACCTCCTCTTTAATTTGACAGGTTGCCGATTTGCTTTTAAATCTGTGGGTTTCTAACGTTTGAATCACTCACCTTTCAGTAAGATTGGCTGGGTTTGATAGTGTGTATATGTATATTGATGTGTGCGTGTGTATGTATATATGTGTAGAACACTGTTAATAAACAACTTTTGCACACAAAATGGATAATGCAGTGTTAGAAAACCTGGCAGAAGTGGTAAAAGGTGGCAGCAGCTGCACAATTAAACCTGAGGTTTTGTTTCTTTATTCCTGCAGTTTAAGTTTAACCACTCTCCAATTGTTAAAACACTGTTTGTCCACAGTACAGAGAGCAATAGTGAAACAGCATAAAAGAAAGAAAAATAAGAAAAAAAAAACAAGTCACGCCTTCTCTACACCATTCAGTTGCAATTTCAGAAGCAACCACCAGGGGGAGACAAGGTACCTTCGCCTGGGAATTTTCAAACTGTGGTTGCAATAACCCGCCTACGCCACCAGATGGCGCCAAAGAGAACACTACACAATTTGGATCTCAAAACACTGGACCAGCTGAGTAGTTGTAATTACACAAGCTACCACTAGGGGGAGATGACAATCTCTGCCAACGTGGCCTACACTGACCCAGTCGCTGTGACTTTAAGAACTCTTTGTGCTGTACCAATCCACAATTTGATCTCACGGCTTCAGAATAGCAGCAACCAACAAACAACGCAGCCGAAGTCCCAAATCACCAATTCTCTATAGGATTATAAGTCTGAGATTCAATTAACTGGGGTTAAATCTACTCAAACCCACTGGACTCCGCCGCTGCAACACCACAAATACACCCGGTCTATTTTCAGCAGTAGTAGTGTTTTTAGCTATTTAATTAAAAGCAGTCTGGATGATTTATCTGTTATTCATATAACGGAAGTTTCAGTCTCAGGCCCACCCAGGGACGCAACTATGTTGTGCAAAATAATGTCCTGCAAGTAATGAATAGATGGTTAACTAGAACTGGAGTTATAGTTAATTATTTATCCTATTCAAAATCTAAGGCAAAATCAATTTAGTGTACTTAGGTGGATAATTGTAGCCTTGAATTATCTACTTACCGGGTTGCGGATTCACCTCTGGAGGGTTCCTGGACCGGCTGTTAAAATCCAGGTATCCACCAGTCTAGTGTCCCAGGTTAAGTTATCAGCAAAGCTATTACATTTTTAATAAAAAACCTTCTATCTCTGTTTATTCGCACTATTACCAAAAGGCGTGGATCCAACCTGAGTGATAAACCCTCCGTTATGTGAACGGCCAAAACCACTACAGATTAACCAATGATGTCTTTATTCGAATAATTCAGGATTACAGAAAACCTAACATCTATGCAAAACACTACACGCTACTAGAAAAATAAACACGAGGTAGATTAAAATGACTAGTTTAACGAAATTGAAAATAAGGAATAAAGCGAGATAGAAAACAAAGAAATAAAACCATAAGAGTCCGTTTACTGGCGTCTGAGATTGTCCAAAATACAGATATTAATACATTCGCTAATGTCCGTTAGCAGCAGGTATGATGATGACAGTGCAATTACTCATGTAAAATGAATACATCCAGCTTAATATTGGTAAAATTGTTAAAAATGTATTAACAATAGCAGCAGAAGTCGTTTAGCAAAACACATTAACAGACAATGTAGCTGTGTGTGTGAAGGAATGTAGCTAAATGAGGGACTCCCCCCCTTTCTCCACGTGGTGAGAGGAACAAAGAAAAATGGGGGAGGAACAGTCTGTAATCAAGATGGCTCCGACCGCATGGCCGAACGCGTGGCCGATCCTGACAAAAAGGGGAAAAACACACAGCTCCCAGGCTTCTGTCTCCCCAGTTGGCGCAGCCACTATGCACGATGGAACACCGCGATCCGTGACTTTTGACACAGGAAAAACGAAAGCTACTTCCAGTTAGCTTTCTTCTGTTATTTCACGTGAAATGAGCCTCCCCTTTTGGGCCGTGACCCACGGAAAAGAGGAAGAAGGTTTTTAAAGCATGAGTGACGCGGCAGCACTTCCTGTCGGAGTGTCGGCTGATTGGTCTGTGCCATTAGTGACGTGGGGGCACTTCCTGCTGGAGTATCGGCTGATTGGTCCATTTGAGGTGGCTGCCTCCCACAGTGGGCCAGGTCTTCTTTGTTCTTGTTTTGGCGGGAACTCTTTGTTCTCCTTTGTGGAGAAGAGGAGGGGGGCTGTTTCAGATCATCCAACTGATTTTGGCTCCATTTTGTTAATATATCCCAACACCAGTCTCACTTGAGTTGCTGGTCAGTCAGGAAGCTGATGTTCCACTGACAGGTGAAGGCCATCACTTTGAGCTGAGTGAACTTCTGTTGGATATCTGAGTTGATGGGGTTGAAGGCTGAGCTGATCCAGGAACAGGATCCTGGTGGATGACCCTGGGGGGTCAAGGTGTTGCAGGATGATCCAAAGTTGACTGCATCATCTGCTGACTTTTCGTTCAATTATTAAACTGCAGGGGATCCAGGAGGTGGCCTGTCATGTCCTTCAGATGCTTTCACATCAATAAAAGCTTTCTACATATATTTAAGGGTGACAGGTCTGTAGATTAACCCCATTATAAAGTTTTTCTTGGGTACCAGGATGATGGTGGAGCTTTTGAAGCTTTTTTTCTTTTTCTTATGTTAGAAGACTCTGTTTACATCTAGCTTTCTGATCTATTATGGATAAATAGAACTTCATTTATGTTGGTGCTTTAACTTGTAATAAAATAAAGGTGAGCAGGTCACCTACTTGTTACCAACTGAAGTAATTCATTTCAATTGGAGCTGCGTTCTCTTCAACTTCTTTCTGATTATCATTGTGATCATCAATGTTCCATGAGTCATGAACTAATGATTATTAACAGATCGCTTTAGCCTATCCCAGTGCATAAGCACAGAGCGAAAGATAACCTACCAGAGGTTGATAGTTTATCATTGAGCTGCTGTGCAGATAAAAATAAGTCAGCTGAAGTAGGTGTGAACAACAATTTAAGAAATGCAGGAACCAAAAGAGCAGATCTTTAACAATCATTAAGGAAAACATAGGTTTAATTGCACAAATGCATTCCCAAACTGTGATTTGTATTAACCCTTTCTAAAATCTGTCTTTGTTTTTCTTATAATCATTTAAATTTGCACATCACAAAGACTAAAATCTTTCTGCAGTGGACAGGAAGTATCACCCACAAATGGCTGCAGTCAAAGCTGCTGCTGTGGGACAAAGTTTGAAATGAAAGGAAATACACACCCCGTATTTAGAGGTGTTTATTAGCATGCAAGTGTCATCTCTAACTTCTTCTTCATTATAGTTCAAATACAGTTGAAGCCTTTCTGATGAGCTGTGCAGCAGGTCTGGATGTGAGGATGAAGAACGCTCTGCTCTGCATGCTGGGCTTTTTCTGTAAGGACATATCTGACTTTCTGTTCAGAGATGAAAAACAATCATTTCTGCATGTTGCATGTCACCTTAGTGTGATTAAAGAAATGCTTTTGAAATTTAGTGTTTATTCATTTTGCATATTTTATCTCTTTACTAGTCTAACCTGAAAATTCTCTGTTATTAACATGTATTTGTTATAATTTAGCTTTTGTTCTTCATTGCAGCGCTCTGGTCTTTCATATCTGCACGGTATTATGGTGAGAATCTGTTTTTTTCTTCTGTTTTAGTAACGAACTGACATTTTCCTACACAATTTGAATTTGAATACATTCATTGTATTTTTTCTGAAAATGATCAGATTAAATCAACAACTTTGTATTTTAATCTGTGCTGAATGTAAAATTCAGAAGGTCAGATCTAAACCTACAGTGCATGTGTTTTCTCATGAGTTCTCCATTTGATCGTCTCAACACATCAAAGTGAAACAGTGGATGAAACTACTGCAAATAGTAAAGATTCATCCCCAGGAGTAAACGGTATAGTCAGATCAGTGTTTTTAAATCATATCTGCCCTAGGACCTTCTACTATGCATCGGCGTAGGAAGCGTCCCCCCCAATATTGAAGCCAGGTGGATATGTCCCCCCCAAAAAAATTGTACCGCAAAATATTGGATTTTGACATTTTTTTAACTAGCGTGCTTTTATTTTGAAGGCGCAGCATAGCGTTACGTCACTGTACTCCCCCTCCCCTCTCTGAACTGCTGAGTGTTTGAGCACTCAAAAGTGAGGGAAACAGCGACACAGAAGTCAGAAACTTGTGAATGAGTTAAAATGGTCTGTCGGGACTGTTGCTATGAATATTGCTTATTTATAACATCTTGTTGTCAGTTCACTTTCATATATAGAAACTGAATCTTTCTGGTTTAGTCATCTTAGTCTTGGGATGATCTTCTGAACTTCTGCACCTTTATTTCCTCAAATAAACCGCTGGCTCCTCCTTTTAGGCTATAAATAAATTGACACAACATTGACAACTCTGTAGTTTTCTCTGTTCTGTACTGCAAACTGGAATTAAAGGCGCCATTTCTACCAAAGTTCTGGACAGACTGGCGACCTGTCTAGGGTGTACCACGCACCAGCACCTCCCGACCCCACTAAGGGACAAGGGTGTACAGAAAATGGAAGGATAGATAGATTTCTACCAAAGGTTTAGAATGCGTTTTTGAACCAGATGCTTCGAAGCGCCTTGTCCATAATTCTTCAACACACTGTCAGCTCCCTGTCAGAAAGACTTCAGTTCAGAGTCCATGAGATAATACTCTGAAAGGATTTTAATCGATTGATTTTATTTGCCTCTGCGAATAACTCTGCGCGTAAAGTCTGAAATATGACAAATAAAATGTTTTGTTTGATTAAAAATTGGCCATGTTAGGCTCAAGAGCTGTACCTCATTTCTGAAACCATCTCATATGTTTAGGAGCAACAATGCAGGGACAGCACAAAGGAGACAGGAAAAGGAGAGGATAGTGCAACTGGGCTAGAGGCAGGAAGGCCGAGTGAGGGAGAGAGCAACAGGTAAGATAGAGTAACTCATTCCAGTAGATACTTCATGAGAGTCCACAAAAAAGTAGAAAATTTTATATTTTGCTTGTAATAAGTGTAGTTCAGGGGCATTAAGTGACATTGTAACTTTTCCTTCTAGGGAGTTCAGACTAGGGACACACAGCTGAGAGACTCTGAAGTCAGTGGACAGAGAACAGAGCCAAATCAGCCACATCCAAAATTCATAGACCCTCAAGCTCTAGCCAACAGAACTTTACATTTCCAAGAAAAGTGGTACAAGGAATTTCCCTGGCTACATCATGATGCAGTGAAAAGGGGCATTTAAAGCACACTGTAGTCAGTCAGTTAAAAAGCTTGTCTATTAAATGTGTATTTATTGTTGCTAAATATTTCTTCATTTTTGATTTGGTGTAATTAGTCATACAGTTCGACAAACTGAATAAGCATATTTTGATTGATTTTCTTTTCTTCTTTTACTTAATGTTAAAAGTGTGAATAATTTGTTCACTACATTATCTGTGAGGGCTCTTTCATCTCAAAATTTTGTTTAATCAAAGAGATGGTTCTATGGTCAGCCAACCTATATAAATTCATTTTTGACCATTATTGCAAGTTTGACAAAATAAAACATATCAAACTTTGCACTTGAGTGGCCTACTGAATTTTTTTTAATCCAACTGAAATATTTGATTTTCTGGTGCGTATAAGGACACTAAACATGCCAAGGGCTGAAGCCCTTGAAAGACATCTCCCTTTGCTTAATAAGACTCCAGTCATTTTGTTAGGTGATATGCTCACATCTTATGAACAAATGCATTATGTAAATTTTAAATGCATTATTTTTGCAAGACACATTTATAAAGGAATAAAGTAAAAGATTAAATAGCCTTTTTTTAAGTAGCGTACTTAAGATATATTTCTGTTCAATATTTACGGATCTCAGATTTCTGACATGTGTCCCCCCCAATTGTAAACTTATTCCTACGCCCTTGCTACTATGACATATATTCTAAAACTGAACCTTTATGTGAATAAAATGTAAAGAAGAAAATGTTTCTGCCTCTTTGCAATGGTTAAAAAGTTTCTCTCTTAAGCACCATCTGCTGTCAGAGATCTGAAGGCAGAAACTGGTGTGTAGAATAAATGTTATGTAAATGTTGTAAAATCAAATTATTTTCTCGTAGTCTAAAACTGAACCTAACCTTTGAATGAATGAAAATGTAAGGGGGAGGAAAATGTTTTTACCTCATTTCAATGGTTCAAACGGTTTTGTTCTCTTCAGCACCATCTGCTGTCAGAGATCTGTAGGCAGAAACTGGTGTGTACTATAAAGGTTATTTTCCTTTTTTTACTGTGCAATTTATGAATTTTGTAGTTGGAAATGAATTAGGGGAAGATGGAAAATCAAATTATTTTCTCACACCAAGCTCTTAATTGACCACTCACCAACATTTATTGCATCCATAATTTATCTATAGTTTATCTATAATTTATCTAAGTTTATCTGTAGAGAACATTTCATTGGCAAGACAATTCAATGAGCAGTACGCGAGAAGAAAAAAAAAAGAAAATTAAATTGAAGTGGCATCAAAAATAATTAAAGAGAGTAAAATCTAATCATCTGATCATTAAAATAAGAGTTATTTAAAAAAAACAAAATAAAAAGTTTTAAAAAATGAAACAAAAATTTAACTGAAAATGTTACTAATCGTGTTAGAAAACACAGCCAAAGCTCCTCTAAATAATAGCTTTTTTATCTCTCATCAGTATTATCATTTAGTATTACTTATTACTAACACTAACAGGGAGAATCAGCTGCTGGTGGAAAATTACACTCTAGACTAGAGTCTGATTAGTATGATTGTGAATTTAAGTTTTTTCAGATACATACAGTTTCTGCGTAAGGTGTCAAGGCTCAGAACAGAGGACCCAATATTAAAGGTAGACAGACAGATTTCTCCAAAAGCATATATTTAAAAAAAAAAAAAAAAAACTGATTGGCAGTGGGCAGCTAGGGCGGATTAACATGATAAGTGACCATGTTAATCTGGCGGAGCATGATTACAAAGGTGTTAGTTACTATCTGGTCTTATAGTTAATTCCATGCCCAGAGTAAGAGGTGGATTACAACCAAACAGCTGACAACACGACTTGGCCAGCGCTGCCCAGAGTTCCAGGAACTGAAAGCCTTGAAGACTGTATATCTGGCAGGAGATCAGATCCAAGCAGACGGAGGAAGGCAAGACAATCCAGAGGACAAAGCCATAGCCTGTGTTGATTAGCTTCACAGGAATCCTGGCCAGAAGATCAGAGATCTTAATGGTGCCAAAGAGAAATCCAGGTCAGTGAAGGAAGCAGTTCCAGAGTCGTCAACAATCAGAATCCATCAGTAGTCCGAATACAGGTCAGGCAAACAGATCAGAATAGGAACAGGCAGAATCAGAGGTCCAAAGACAGAACATGCCGGGATCAGGCAATCAGAAAACACTATGACTCGCAAGAAGACTATCACAAAAGGCTCGAATAATCTAGCCCTGATGACTGGAAGTAGACAGGTTTAATAGAGACTGAAGCAGGTGACACAGATGAAAGGTGATCAGAAGCTGGGTGGAGCAAGGCAGGTGAATGGAATGAATGATCAAGTCAGTCATGGCACATGGGACACATGGGAAGTAGGATGGATTTTTTAATGGAATCAGGAAGCTGGGGGTAAACAGCCACCAGGTTTACCACTTTTGTAGTGGGAAACGGCCTGATAAAATGAGGTTCCAGCTTCCTATTCTCCACCCTCAAAGGTGGGTCTTTAGTGGAGAGCTCAGACATCTGGACTTCCCGGCAATGAGTTGCCAGAGTACTCTGGCGTTTAGCAGCCTCGGCTTGACTATCCAACTTACTGCAAACAGCTCTAACCCTAACCCTTCTCCAGGCTCAGTGGCACCTAAGAGCAGATAACCAGGCCAACAGAACTTCAGAAACCTTTTTCTGTATGGTAAACACTGGAGGATGAAGCCCAAACAAAGAGAGTCCAGTGGTGCTAGAAGTGGCAGAATTGATAGCATGCTTGTCCCAGGGAAGTTGGCTGACTTAGATATGTCAATGATAGTGTGGATGACGGTGCTACCTTCAGAAAAAGGTAACCTGGGACGGGTTGATAAAGGTTGCAGAAAACCAGTTGGGGGTCTTCTGGGTGTTTTGGACTGATTGCAAAGGGGTAAGCTGCTACAAACTCCTGCACATCTGAGGACAGGGAAGGCCACCAGAATTGTGCCCAAATAATGTTGATGGTTTTAGACAATCCAGGAAGACAAAAAAAGTGGGAACCGTGACAGAACTCCAAGACACCTTTTCTCAAAAATTGCAGGCACAAACACACAGAGATTAAGAAGATCCTCCGGGTTTCATGATTACAGAGCTTATTTCTCACTTCCTTCTCTAAATCAACCATAGTGACAGAACATCTCACAGACTCAGGTACCTCATACTCCTCTGTACCACCAGAGCTCTGTTCAACTGGTTCAAATGACCTGGACCAAGCATCAAGTTTAACATCACTTGTCTGTAGACAATGACAAGTTTAAGTGCCCAAAAAAGTGCCAACCTTGCTAGTCTGGGGTTAAGTCTCTTAGCCAACTTCTGGTATTCAAAGTCAAAATCACAACATTAATCTTGGACCCCTCCAACCACTGTCTCCATTCCTCCAGAACCAGCTTTATCGCCGTAGCTCCCGATCCCCCACATCATTGTTCCACTCTGCGCTTGAAAGTCTCTTGGAGAAGAAGACACAGGAGTTAATCTTGTTATCCCTGGCTTCTTGGCTGAGGACCACCCCAACTCCAGTACTATAGGCATTGACCTCCAGAATAAATTGTCTTTCTTGATCGTGAGAAGACAAAACAGGTGCAAAAGCCTGTTCATTTCAACAGAACTTAATCTTATCTGAAGTGAAGGCATGAAGGGGTGCAGTTATCTGACTTATGTTTCTGATTAACTTTCTGTAGAAATTAGCAAACCATGGTCCATGGCAATCTGATCAGGGGAAACCACAAAACCCAGGAATGACATAGTTTCAACATGAAATTCACATTTCTCAGCTTTAAGAAACAGCTGATTCTGCTAGAGGTGCAATAGAAAAGCTCTGAGAGTACATAGGAATGTAATCCAGATATACAAAAACACAATATACCACAATGTCCCCATTGACTAAATGTCAGAAAGCAGCTGCAGCGTTACTGAGGCTGAAAGGCATGACCAAATATTCGTAATGACCTGTTGGAGTGTTGAATGCTGTCTCCCACTCATTGCCTTCGCGAATACATACCAAATGGTACGCATTGCAGAGATCTAGTTTTGTAAAGATCTTGTTTTCATAAAACCTCGAAAATCAATGTAGAGTCTGAGAGAACCGTCCTTCCTGCCCTCAAAAAAAAAAAAAAAACACACCAGCAGGGGGAGAAGAAGGGCGAATAATCCCTGCCTTCAGAGAATCTTAAATATATTTCTTTACTGCCTGTGATTCAGGGGCCGATAACGAATACAACTCCCCCATAGGGGGTTTAGTACCTGGTGGTAAGTCAATCCCACAATTATAAGGTCTATGCGGAAGAAATGCGTTGTTCCTGCATTTATAGAATACCTCCTTGAGGTCATGATACTCCTCAGAGACGTTTGGCAGGTCTGGATAATATTCATCCTCCTCCTTTTCAGCCAACAGCTCTGGTTTAGCAGAATGTAGGTGGGAACATGAACAAGATGTAGCCCAGTCAAAAACCTCCACTCTCTGCCAGTCAATGTGGGTAATGTTTGAGTAACTAAATTTAATCTTGAACAATATGGACCTGAGGGGAATCAATAATCAGAAAAGTTAGCTGTTCAACATGGTTAACCCCCACCACTTGTTCAACTGGTTCAAATAGCCATCCAAGGCTATTACCTTGTGGGAATCCATCAATGGATAGAAGCCTTATACCCAGTGGTC